GCTGCTCTCTACCAAAACAAGATCTTTTTGTGTCTTAGCTCTCTTACTTGATCTGCTTTTTACCTGTTGTCTCCTCCTGTGTTGAATCTCTAACAGAGACTGAATCGTGTCTCATCACTTGTTCAAGAATCGTCTCTCCGTACTTCTCTGTTTTCAGTTTTCCTATAATACTCTCCAACTGCAAATGCAACCAATAAAACTTTAAAAAGGGAAGCAATCAGACATATAAAACTACTTAAAAACCCGAATTTTAATTAAACGTAAACTCGCCTCTTGTAATGAATCTGGTTTTTGGGAACTTATCAAGCCAATCTGCTGGGTTGAGAGGACAGTGTGAGGGAGTATGTTTCCATGAGCTGCAGATATTTCTCGTCAAGCTTGAGTTCTAACCCGGAAAATGAAATACTTCTTTTCGACTTCTTGATTTGTTTGCTTGAGGTTTCCATTTTTATCGTCTTTCTTCCTGTTTCGAAACAAAGAATTTTTTTTCTTTAGTTTCAAGAGTTTTGTCTATGAAAGTAGTCCGAGCTAGCTAAGCAATGGCCAAAGCATTGATACAATAAAGAAAATGAGATTTGTTGAACTTCGAATTCGATCTATACTCAATAGACAGGATAATAACTCAGAGAGCAAAAGAAATCAGAGCACTATAGAGTACCGAAAGAAAAGAGTATCAAGTATCAGAAACAAAAGTTAACAATACTAACCATCAGGCTTGTTGATTCCCATGCCAAAGGTATATATCAATAACCAAAGGTGATTAATGTACCAATAAAATAATGGAATGTTAAAGGAGCACACATACTGTTCCAACAATGGCTTGCAACTTGTTCTTGCTCCATCTGTGAACATGAAACAACAACAAAATTCAGGCAATACTGCAAATTGCATATCACTAACCGGATCATCAAGAGCAGAGCCCTGCTGCATCAGAGCTGGACCTTGAATCTCTGGTTCAAGGTAGTAAGCACTAGGCACCACTTGTTTTAAGTAATATTAACTTACCGCATATGAACTTTGTCGCGCATATTTACATCCACGTCTGCATGATAATTATCAGCTTAAATTCCTCTGTCTCGTAAATCACCTGCAATCTATCACCATTGCGTGTAAGTGAAAACATGAAAGATTTTCTTCCTCGATCCAATGTCAATGGTCAGAAATGAAGGATGGAAAAGAAGGCTAGGATGGTAAGTCGAGTACATATGATGATGTGTTAATTTCAGTTACAAACCTGTTCACAATCCTTCCGAGAGAAACAATGGACTATTCCAGATTCATTGTTAGAATATGATTCCCGTATGAATTCTGCAATTTCAGAATGATTAAATTTTTGTATACTACTCTATTCTTTTTTTATCAACTAGACTACTTTATTATAGTTATAAATTTAGAGTAATGCTATGAAAAAACCATGATAACTGAGGGGTTAACTCGAGAAAATAAAATATTAAACCGTACAATTGAAGAAACTCATAATCTAAACCAGAACAGTAATAATTAATTTTAACAAAAAAGATATCGACTTCGCCCAACCTCAAGCAGTCTCTTCATGGCTTCTACACGGTACTCATTTCAAACTCTTTTTCCACTTGTTCTTGTTTAGATTATGTAAGTAGTAAAGAGATTGCGCTTGTTTACTGTGTAAATTGTATAATTGAAGCAAACAGAACCTAAACCAGAGCAAGAGAAAATTGTGGCAATAATTGGTTTTGTTGTCATAGATCTGGAAACAAGTTTGTCCAAACTCAAAATGATATCGACCTCACCAAAGGAAGCACAACCTCAAGCGATGTTTAGTCTTATGATGTTTCTTCGGATTCTCGGTGAATCTCTAGATCGGGATTTATCTTACCGTTACATTGGTATCATAGACTAGAGGATGATCACGAACCAGAAGGATCAACCCAAAGTGCAATGATTC